GTAGAAGTATTATCATGATGTTTATTTTCATCCAAAATGTTTTCCATTGTGGTTTTTGTATATTTGTAAAAAAAAATATTCTTTTTTTTCAGCCACAAATATGTATCACAAAAAATATATTAATATTAAATATATTTATCTAAAAAAAAATTAAAATTTTACCTGAACTACAACAATTCAGCATTGACACCCTAAAATCATAAAACTGTAATAAATATTGCAAGCATGCAATCAGAGTTATTGGAGTCACCAAATCTGGAAAACTAAATTAAACTCATTACATACAACTATACTGCTTGATTAGGGCTTCTATTTGAATAATGGTTTATTCAAATTATTTGTTTTACTTGTTATGAATTTGAGTATTTGAATTACATTGGAAGTTTATTCAATAAAATGAATAATGGATAATTTGATAATTCAAATAAAATGAATGAATGAATAATTCAAATAAACAAATAAACAAATAATTCAATTGATAATTTAAATAAAACAAATAAATGAATAATAATAATTCAAATAATTCGAATATTTCAAACAAAATGAATATTTCAAACAAAATGAATAATTAGAATATTTCAAACAAAATGAATAATTAGAATATTTCAAATAAGACGAATAAACAAATAGTTTGAATAAAATGAATAAACAAATAGTTTGAATAAATGAATGACAACAATTTGAACAATAATTCAAATATTTCTAAAATGAATAATCCAAGCAAAACAAATAGTTTGAATAAATGAATGATAACAATTCAAATAATAAATGAATGATGATAATTTAAATAATAAATGAATGATACAATTTGAATAATAAACAAATGATGAATAATAAACAAATGATGATAACAATTTGAATAATAAACGACCATAAGGATAAATAATATGCCAACTACATTTATTTGTGTCTGATGAACTTGCCAAGGCAAAGCTATTTAATGGTGCCATACAACCAATTGTGGAATATAATGTATCTGCACAAGCAACTAAAATTTGAGATACCAAATCTTGACAAGTAATTTTTTCACCATCTAAAGAAGGGAGTTAAGTATTCCATGACGATCTAGATGCCCTGCCTAGTTATGTTGATGCATCTTTAATCATAACGATCTAGAAAATCATCAACAGAGTACCTAGAAAGTACTCTGCCTAGTCATGATGATGCATCAACAAAAGCACCCTTTAATCATAACGATCTAGAAAATCATCAACAGAGTACCTAGAAAGTACTCTGCCTAGTCATGCTGGTGTATCTAGGTCATCAACAGTGCACCTAGAAAGTGTCTTTCTTAGTTATGGCAAATACACTTGCCTTCAAGGTTGGAAGCAATAACTTGGCTCATTCTACTTGTTCCTTGTTAAAACACTTCTCTTTGTTATTTATAATTGTCTCCAGATTTGTTTTCAGCCAGCTACTCTCTTTATGGAAAATACCACTAAAGTCTCTTTGTCTTTTTTGAAATTCGTAATATCCATGAATGGACCAAAGCTTTGGTGATTCATTGAAGTATGCAAGATTTGAAGACATAGAAGATAGTTTTTCAAAAAAATTTTTTTTTTTAAATCGTGTCAAAAAAAAAAAAAAAAAAAACAATTTAATTCGCGTCCATTTGTTGTATAGTGCAAGACACCTAGTCCCACAACTTTTTATTGGTCATGTAGATCTTTTAAATACTCCAAAAATGGAAATGTAACACCAAAAAAACAAATCATAGAAATCTAGCACGAGTTTACTAACATGTATATATATGATATTGGACCCCCAATATGCTATGATCACTAAATTTTGATCCCTGAAATTTTTGGTACGTAATACCAATGTTCACTTTGTCTGGTTTTGTTGCAGTCTGCCCCATATACTGAAACATATGTTTTTCCTGTTGGAAGATATATGAAAGCATCAGAATCATCAAAATGATGCATTGGTGATGGCAATCCAAATATATCTGCATATTGTAACAAGTATTGTTTAACCATTGATCCAACTTCTAAGTCAACTTGGGCACAGGATTTGATTTTAGGTATACATCCAGTATTTTTATGAAGTTGTTCTGATAATCCATTAATTTGTAAATCAACTTGCAAGGTTTTAAGCATATATTCAG